ATTTTAAATGTTTTATTTATAGCTGATGAATTGTCTGTCGATAAATAAAGATTATCTATCTATCTAGGCTGACCAGCATTTAATTTCTTCCAACAATATCACCAGTGAATGACACATCATGGTCACAAGAGTAAAGGAAATGATCGTCATCTAAAGAAGCTCTTGATTGTTTAACAAATTATCTTTGTCAGCACCATGGGAAATGTACAGAGTACAGTATAGAGAATAAGGTTACTGATACTCAATGTGTAAAGGGCTAAGCATCTTGGCTGAATTTTTTTTTTTGAGGGGGTATTTTCTTTTAAAGGTTCTGGACCTTAATGACTATGATAAACTGTACCTGTTAATGTGCAAATGGAGAATCATTCGGCTTTTCAACCCGTTGTGTTATGCTGCTGATGTAACAAGTGTTGAAGACCTGGAAAAGAAAGTGAGGACAAACTTGCATGATTTGAAAAGAAAGCTGCCAGCTTGGTCACAATCCGAGTATTTCAAGGATGATTTAGAAACTATTGAAAAAGTGATTGAAGATTCGAAGACTGTGAACTATGAAGATTTACCGTCACTTCTGGTGAGTTGCATTGTTACCATAGTTTGTAATTAATAGAGACTGTTCAATTAGCCTGGGAGCAGGCGGTCATCATCAGCACCTTAAGGGGTAACGAATGGTCTTTGCGAGCATTTACGAGCATTCAAGCAATGTGTTTATTTTTGCGAGCACAAGGAGTTGTCAAATTTTTCTTGCAAGCAGTGAGCACGTTAGGAAATACAGATGGCGAGCAGCCAGCACTTTAGAAAAAAATAAAGATGGCAAGCAGTGAGCATTTCGAGTACTTCATAAATTTTCTGCTAGCCGAAATCTCTCTCATTAATAGGATTTATTGTTTTGGGCCAAGTAATAGCTAATAGTCTGGCTTACACCTCCAAAACAGAGCTAGGAGGGTCGTACAGGGGGGTCCGTCACACGGTTCGCGAAGAGAAAAATGGCGAATCACGGATCAACAGTTATAGTCGTTTTCCCCGGCTTTATTGAGTCCACTCCTGTGGCGTCGCTTCACTGAGCACGGTATCACTCACATAAAATCCACACTTCAGGGCTGCCGTGGCAGTGGCAGAAAGCGAGATAACAGTGTATCGTGCCTAGGAACTACAAGACAATTCCGTGCCAACATCTCTCCAACTCCAAATGAAGATGATTCGATGGGTTCTGACCAAATTGCTGCACTGGACCACGAATCTAGTAATTTGCATAACCGGTCGTTGAGCTTATTAAATATTCAAGGTAACACCTTTCAAACCAACAAAATAAACAACCCTTCCGTTCTGCCAGTGTTGCCTGAGAACGGAACGAACACTTCAAACTCTCGGACTGACGACAATACGTTTCCAGTCATCACGGATCGTCCCATTGAATCTCGTAGCGTGTTTGGTTTGAGCTTGATGCTTGCAAACACTATGTCTCTGGCGCCCAAGATCGATGAAGTTCGTTCTACCATCTTGGACTACAAACCAAATTTAGGGTTCATTACCGAAACGTGGCTGAGGGACACCATCAGCGGAAACCACCTCCACATTCCCAGTTACTCGTTTATTTCTAGAAACCGCAC